ACTGCAGACATATTACAGGAGATGGTCAGAGACTGCAGACATACTACAGGAGATGGTCAGAGACTGCAGACATATTACAGGAGATGGTCAGAGACTGCAGACATAGTACAGGAGACGGTCAGAGACTGCAGACCTAATACAGGAGATAATCAGAGATTGCAGTCATATTACAGGAGATGGTGAGAGATATTCTGCAGTGTCACTCAGTGTATAGAGATCAGGGTTGTTGGAGAGAGAATATCACCTGGTGTATGGGCATTGGGCAGGCACACTCATCCTGGCCGGTATACTTGAAGGCAGGGTGACACACTAAGCTGCTGGGCTGGTGATCGGTGTCACTGATCTGCTGCACACAATGTAGATTTCAGAGTCCAGTCTGCAGTACATTCTGTCTGCCACCTCCAGCTCTCTTCATTTCCGACTTGCTATGTCCTACGGCCGCGATGTGGAATGTGGCCCCACCGCTCATTGAAGTCCCCAGGATGGAAACTGCCCAGAGGGGCTGCCGCTGCCCTCATCACCGTGGGTCCACTCAAAGCTCTGCATCAACCACTGGCAGGGATAATATGGCTACTGCCTCCCCCCCTGATGGCGGTCCGCACCCCCATAGTGACACCACTGGGCCGGGACCTACCGACCGACTTGTGCTGTACCGAAGAACGGTACAGAAGTAGCAGGTAGTGCCCCCCTCCTGGAAATACTGGATCACGTACATGTACATGATCCAGCACAGAGCGGCCACCCCTCCGCAGTAACAGTACATGGGGCAGTCTGCAAGTGGTTAACCCCCTCGCCCTCCTGAGGATTTCCCCCCCATCCTGATCAGGCCATTTTTTGTGATACGGCACTGCATTACTTTAACTGACAATTGCGCGGTCATGCAACACTGCACCCTAATGAAATTTACAGCCTTTTCCCCCACAAATTGAGCTTTCTTTCTGTGGTATTTGATCGCCTGTGCGGTTTAAAATTTTTGCGCTATAAGCAATAAAAAACTGACCATTTTGAAAAAAAAAAAAATATTTTTGACTTTTTGCTATAAAACATGTCCAGTAAAAAAATTTAAAAAAAAATCAAATTTCATCATAAATTTAGGCAAAATGTATTCTGCTCCATGTCTTTGCTAAACAAAAATCCCAATATGTGTAAATTAATTGGTTTACGTGAAAGTTATAGCGTCTACAAATGGCGGTGTAGATACTGGGATTTTTTTGCTTAATTTTTACTAGTAATGGCGGCGATCAGCGACTTATAGCGGGACTGCAGCGGGCATTCTGACACTGGGGGGGGGGGGGGGGGAACTGACTTGGTGTTACTGACATCACCAGTGACACCAATACAGTGATCAGTGCTAATAAAAAGCACTGACACTGTACTAATGACACTGAGCAGGAAGGGGTTAACATTTGGGGTGATCAAAGGGTTAACTGTGTGCTGTTTCACTGTGTGTGTGCTTCACTGTGTCAGCACATTGCTCTGTATTGGTCTGCTATGCAGAGCCATACAAAGCAGTATGCTGGAGCTGACAGGGGAGAGATCTATATTTTTTACATACAGGTCTCTCCCCCGTCAGTGATACTCGACGATCGCTGGGTGCCGGAGAGAATCACCAGAATCACCCGGTGATCAATAGCTGAGGCCGCCAATGGCCTACCCAGAAATGAAAAATCACACACAAGTATATATATATCTGCCTGGAGTTTGCATGTTCTTCCTGTGCCTGCGTGGGTTTCCTCTGGGTTCTCCGGTTTCCTCCCCCACCCCAAAGACATGCTGGTAGGTTAATTGGCTCCTGTCTAAATTGTCCCTAGTATGTGTATGTATGAATGTGAGTTAGGGACCTTAGATTGTACTCTCCTTGAGGGTTAGGGACTGATGTGAATGTACAATATATATGTAAAGCGCTGTGTAAATTGACGGCGCTATATAAGTACCTGAAATAAATAAATATATATATATGTGTGTGATTTTGTACAGCCCTACCGCCCTGTAGCAGGAAAGCGGTTAAAAAAAAATGAAGGTATCTACGCACAATTGAATCAGTAGATGAGGTTTGAGACACTGGTTGCAGGTATGCAGGGTGCTTTTTCTTTTTAGATACAACGAGAAATGTTGATAACGGTAAATGATAAATCAGTTGAATGAGTTTGAATGTTTTGCATGTATCTCCTTCAGAGTAACGTGTGGTATGACGAGGGGCGGACTGACCATTTGAAAACTCGGGCACTGCCCGAGAGCCTGGGGTCAGTAGGGGGCCCCATGAGATGCCCCTGGTACCTTTTTCATAGGCTTTTTTGAGTTTGGGCAAGGACACAGGGGCCCCATGATCCCCTATTGCCCAGGGGCCCCATGAGTTGTCAGTCCGCCCCTGGATATGACTGTACTCTGTAAAAATGTATCAAATTTATTTCCCTTCAGAGTATAAAATAGAATTTTTGTTCCAACTGCCTTCTGAATTTTGTCCAGCAGAGGGCAGCCTAGTCGCTCTGCCTCCTATTATCCCTCGATGTGGCAGCAGGTGGCGCTGTTGTAACTGCAGCGCACGGTGATAGAGAGCTGGCGGCCATTTTCTTGGAGACCAGTGACAGCTGATTTGGGGACAAAATGTTATAAGAATTGTAATACAATCAGTAGAAAATGTCAATTTGTCTCAAGTGTCTGTCTGCTGACGTCATTTGTGTTCGTCCATTGAGTGTTGTGAAGGTCCTAGGCAGGTGAGGACACGGGTTCTGTTTGGATGGATCACACTGTCAGTGTTCTCCAAATCCACCAATCACACTGTAATTGTTCCCCAAATCCACCAATCAGATTCCAGGCTGGGTGGGGGGATTCTGGCTGGACATTGTGGGGAGATAACTGTGTGACCTCAGCTATGCTGGGGCTGTGCATGGGGGCAGGAGGGGCAACTCAGTGGTGCTGGGGCCAGGGCTGGTGTAGTGGCGGAGGGCTCAGGTTTGCAGGTAGATAATTGTACGGTGGAAGCAGCAGAGTTGTAAGAAGGTTCTTGGGGTGCAATATGTTGAAGCGGGGTTGGAGTCCCTGGAAGATGAGGCAGCTCAGAGGTCCTGGGATATTGGAGCAGCGTTGGGTTCCCAAGATGGTGGAGCAGTGTTGGGGGTTCCCAGATGATTGCATAGCGCTGAGGTCCAGGGATGATGGAGTAATGGTGGGTTCCCAAGATGACAGAGGAGAGTTCAGGTCCTTGCATTTAGGAACAGATGAAAGAGCAGAGCTAGGGTGCCAAGATGATGGAGCAAAGTTGAGCCCCCTGAAAGAAAAGGTAGCTCAGGTGGCCTGGGATGACAGAGCGGCACTGGGGTCCCAAGATGACATACACGAGATACGGACCTTGGATGATTGAGCGGCACTGGGTTACCAAGACGGTGGAGCAGAGTTGGAGTCCCTGGAAGATAGGGCATCTCGGGGTCCTGGGATGACAGAACAGAGCTAGGGACCTGGGATGATGGAGCGGTGCTGGGTTCCAAAGATGGTGGAGCAGAGTTTGGGGTCCTCAGATGACTACTTGGTGCTGAGATCCCAGGATGATAAAGCAATGTTGGGCTCCAAAGATGACAGAGCAGAGTTGAAGTCCTAGGATGAATGGACAGATGAGGGGACAGAGCTGGGGTCCTGGAATGACAAAGCAGAGATCGGACGCCTAAAAAGATGGAGCTGAGTTGAGGTCCCTGGAATGACTGAGCATGGCTGAGGTCCTGGAGTTGGGGTCTGAGGATGATAAAGCAGGATAAGGTCCTGGGATGATGGAGCAGAGTTGAGGATCCCCAGATGACTGCGTAGTGCTAAGGACGCAGGAAGATGGAGCAGTGTTGGGTTCCCAAGATGACAGACTAGAGCTAAGGTGACAAGATGACGGAGCAGAGTTGAGGTCCCTGATTAGCTAAACAGTGCTGGATTACTGAGCAGACCTGGTGTCTTGAGTTGATGAAGCAGAGTTGGGATACCCCAGATGACTGCATAGAGCTAAGGGCCCAGGATGATGGAGTACTGCTGGGTTCCCAAGATGACAGAGCAGAATTGAGGTCCTGGGATGACTAATCAGTGCTAGGGTGCTAAGATGATAGAGCAGGGTTGAGGTCCATGGAATGACCTAATGTAGCTGGGGTCCCAGGTTGATGGAAAAGAGGCAGAGTCCTGGGATGACTGCGCGGTGCTGATGTCTCAAGATAACAGAGCAGTGTTCGGGTCCCTGGACAACTGAGCAGCTCTGGGGTTGTAGAATCTCATTGCTGAGGTCCTGGGATGACAGAGTTGGAGGTCCTGGAATGAAAGCTCAGAATTGGGGTCCTGGAATGACAGAGCAGTACTAGGGTGTCAAAATGGTGGAGCAGAGTTGGGGTCCCAGGAATGATTCAGCATGACTGAGGTCCTGGGATGACAGAGTTGGGGGTCCCCAGATGACTGCGTAGTGCTAAGGGCCCAGGATAATGAGAGCAGAGCTGAGGTCCTGGAATGACAGAGCAGTGCTAGGGTGTCAAAATGGTGGAGCAGAGTTGGGGTCCCAGGAATGATTCAGCATGACTGAGGTCCTGGGATGACAGAGTTGGGGGTCCCCAGATGACTGTGTAGTGCTAAGGGCCCAGGATAATGAGAGCAGAGCTGAGGTCCTGGAATGAAAGCTCAGAATTGGGGTCCTGGAATGACAGAGTAGTGCTAGGGTGTCAAAATGGTGGAGCAAAGTTGGGGTCCCAGGAATGATTCAGCATGACTGAGGTTCCAGGATGACAGAGTAGAGTTGGGGTTCCTGGATGTTGGAGAAGATTCGAAGTCTCGGGATGACTGAGCGGTAACTGATAACATCATTGGGGTACTAGGAGGACTGAGCAGTGCTGGAGTCCCATGATGACATATCAAAGTTGAATTCCCAGGATGACAGTTGGGGTCCTGGTTGTGGCCAGTAGGTGATATTTCATTACAGGTCCTCTTTACTGCCATAACTTTAATGATGATTTAATAATCTTTCTGTTATGTTCAGGAATAAGATGTCGGCACCCTCTGCGCAGGAGAGAAAAGCATGCTGGGACTCCCGCGACCTGTACTGGCAGTGCCTGGATGACACTAAGGAGGACAGGGACAGGTGCCAGCAGATCAGGAAAGGCTTTGAGAAGAACTGTCCACAGACATGGGTAGGTCACATGACCACCGCAGCCAGCCAATGTCACCATCTCAATCCACTTTTAGCAGCTTCTTTTTAAATTCTGGAAAATGAGGACTTCACCTGTTGCAGCCAATCAGATCCTGGCCACTGGCAATGGACAAGAGCTTATTTCCCTTTCCTCTGGTGCTCCAGCCGGGGGCCACGTGATGCACAACTTAAAATGGATCTTCAGTTTTGTATTTCCTGGCCCTCTATATACATTGGAAAGATTTCAGCAGATCGTTTCAGCCTGTTGTGGAGATAGTTATTGTGCCCTTAGCAGAGATCGGCCCGAACATTGCAACTCCCAGTGCAGTGAATTTAGGGACAGTGCAGGAATGCCATTTCCCAATTAGTCATTTGATTCAAGTTGTGTGCCAACTGGAAGGGTGGCTTTTTACAGGAGCAAGGGGGGTGGGGGGGGGGTGGTGAGGATTCTGGGATTATAGCCCTCCAAGCTGCCCCCAGGGTGGGAAGGAGAGATTAGAATTTTGTTGTTGTTTTATAATGTCCTGACTGTCTGCAAATTAAAACTGGGCTTGTTCCTTAGTTGAAGAGATGAGTTGAACAAATACCTCTCTTCTGTTCTTCATACGGTAGAGGGAAGGTGTTCTGTAGTCCACAGCAATACATGGAGGGTCCTGGGAGATCAGATATAGTGAATGCAGGGTCCTGGGAGACCAGATATAGTGAATGTGGGGTCCTGGGAGATCAGATATAGTGAATACGGGGTCCTTGGAGATCAGATATAGTGAATGCAGGGTCCTTGGAGATCAGATATAGTGAATGCAGGGTCCTGGGAGATCAGATATAGTGAATGCAGGGTCCTGGGAGATCAGATATAGTGAATGCAGAGTCCTGGGAGATCAGATATAGTGAATGCAGGGTCCTGGGAGACCAGATCTAGTGAATGCAGGGTCCTGGAAGATCAGATATAGTGAATGCGAGGTCCGGGGAGATCAGATATAGTAAATGCAGGGTCCTGGGAGACCAGATATAGTGAATGCAGGGTCCTGGGAGACCAGATATAGTGAATGCAGGGTCCTGGGAGACCAGATATAGTGAATGCAGGGTCCTGGGAGATCAGATATAGTGAATGCGGGGTCCGGGGAGATCAGATATAGTGAATGCGGGGTCCTGGGAGACCAGATATAGTGAATGCGGGGTCCTGGGAGACCAGATATAGTGAATGCGGGGTCCGGGGAGACCAGATATAGTGAATGCGAGGTCCGGGGAGACCAGATATAGTGAATGCGAGGTCCGGGGAGACCAGATATAGTGAATGCAGGGTCCTGGGAGATCAAATATAGTGAATGCAGGGTCCAGGGAGATCAGATATAGTGAATGCAGGGTCCTGGGAGACCAAATATAGTGAATGCAGGGTCCAGGGAGACCAGATATAGTGAATGCAGGGTCCTGGGAGATCAAATATAGTGAATGCAGGGTCCAGGGAGATCAGATATAGTGAATGCGGGGTCCTGGGAGACCAGATATAGTGAATGCGGGGTCCTGGGAGACCAGATATAGTGAATGCGGGGTCCGGGGAGACCAGATATAGTGAATGCGAGGTCCGGGGAGACCAGATATAGTGAATGCGAGGTCCGGGGAGACCAGATATAGTGAATGCAGGGTCCTGGGAGATCAAATATAGTGAATGCAGGGTCCAGGGAGATCAGATATAGTGAATGCAGGGTCCTGGGAGACCAAATATAGTGAATGCAGGGTCCAGGGAGACCAGATATAGTGAATGCAGGGTCCTGGGAGATCAAATATAGTGAATGCAGGGTCCAGGGAGATCAGATATAGTGAATGCAGGGTCCGGGGAGATCAGATATAGTGAATGCAGGGTCTTGGGTTTAGGAACACTTTAACCAGCAGTGCAGGGGCGGGTGGCCGTTTATAAACATCCTCCCACTTACCTTCCTGTGCGCGCTCCGGAAACAGCGGAACACCGATCGCTGTACGGGACCTCTGTGCGAGGTCCCGATCATGTAATCACTGATTGGCCAATCAGTGATCACTTGAATAGGTGTAAGCAAGATGTCACTTCTGACATCATTGCTTACTACTAGTGAAATCTGTGAATGATCACAGAGGTCACATGGTACAATGCTATTCACAACAGCCTTGTACCATGTGACAAGTGTGACCAATCACAGCTTTCACAGTATTTCTCAATGGCTGCAAAAATGCAGCCAGAGAGGAGGAGAAATTATTGCTTTTACAGCCTTTATGGGTGTAAAAGCAATCTAAGAAAAAAAAAAAATCTTCATCACCGCCCACAAGTAGTACAGTGTCACTATGGTGACAGTATGTTAAAAAAAATAGTCATAATATCAAATAAAAATGTAAAAAAAAGTTTTGAAAAATTATAATTTTTGGTTATAAACTAATTTGGGTTATTTTATTTTATTTTTTTACTAAAAAGATAGAGGAATACAATTTGGCCAAGATTTATGATGAAATATTATTTATTTGCAAAATTTTATACGAAAAACACTTTTTTCAAAATGTTTGGACTTTTTCATTTATATAGCAAAAAAATAAAAATCCCAGTGGTGCATAAATACCACCAAAATAAAGATTTATCTGTCTCAAAAAATGCTAAAAAATTCATATGGGTACAGTGTTGCATGACCGCGCAATTGTCATTCAAAGTGTTACAGCGCTGAAAGCTGAAAATTGGCCTGGACAGGAAAGGGGGTGAAAGTGTCCGGACTTGAAGTGGTTAAGGGAGTACATTGGGGCCTCCCAGGTCCCCAGAACTAGTGTCCCCATTGGAAGATTACTTTTCTGGAGACAACCCAAAATTTAGGATTTTCTTCCACTTTCAGCCCTGGTTTACACTGATGCGGTGCGGCACATCGCATGTGATTTGCACAGGAACCACACCTCATTCCTGTGCCACATGCGATGCCTGTGCGGTGCGTTTTGAGCCGTACATTTTGTATGGCTCAAATCGCATCCGCACCAAAAAGGCGCAGGACCCTGTTTTCACCCCCACCTGATTTGCATTGCACAGGTGTTCAAACCCATGCTATGCAAAGTCTGGTAATCACATTGCATTTTGCAAAATGTTTCTGGCTGTCAATTTAACATTGACACCTGTACCAGATCGCATTGACGCTGTGCGATTGCGGTGCGGGAAATGCAGAGGATTCACTGCGTTTCCCGCACTGCATTAGTGTGAACCAGGGCTCAATGATAATGGTAAACTGGAAAAATAGAGAGGGGGGGATCTCCCTAACAGGGGGCACAAACAGCAATAAAAACCTGACAGGGGGTCTAATCCCACTCCATCCAAAACTAAAAAAAAAAAAAAATTTTGCCTCTAGTTATACTTTAAATAGTGGATATGTATGGATCAGTTTTGGAGAATAGGGATCAGGGGCGGACTGACCATTTGGAAACTTGGCCACTGCCTGAGGGCCCGGGGTCAGTAGGGGGCCCCATGAGATGCCCCTGGTACCTTTTTCATAGGCTTTTTTGAGTTTGGGCAAGGACACCGGGGCCCCATGATCCCTTATTGCCCGGGGGCCCCATGAGTTGTCAGTCTGCCCCTGATAGGGATATTGTTTGCTGTCATTTTAACATGCCAACTGCTGCTCCTCAAATAGGAAATGATGACTTTTGATGCTTTGCAGCCACACTGTATATGCCATGGGCCCGTTTACAGCACTTTCAATATAAATAAATGGAAATGTTCTCACACAGCTGGCCAGTAAAAGCAGGTGGTTGAGCCACAGTTCTACCGCCCACCTAAACAAGGGCATGCAGCTGCTGTAGAGAGATTAGAACTGTGGGAGGGAACCAGCAGGCTCCACCCACTACAGGCTGCCTGTAGAAAACTACAAAAGTGCAGCGCTAGATAATAAAGTCTGAAAGAAAGTCCACTAAAGTCTATTCATAAAAACGTGCCAGATGACAAGTGGATAATCAGTGGTGGCGGTCCGTGAAGAAAAGAAGAAATGCGCACTCACCAGAAGACAGATGTAAGTAAGCGATATGCATCAAAGCCCATAGATCCTCAATCAAGGAGAGAAACTGGTCCGGTCAAAGTGGGTTGATCTTCCCTTAAGGATGCAGAGCTAATCCAGAGCAGATCCAGGTTCCATACCTCTGATGATGTGCGTGCGCACGTAACGCGCAAGGAGGAGCCTGGACGTCGAGATGCTATGCCGCCGGAGCCACGTGGAGGCCCGGCGGCCATTATTTCATTTTCTAGGGTTCAACCTTTACACCTGGATGACACACGTTTTTCTAAGTTGTTACTATTGTCCTTAATAAAATTGTTGATTCTATGAATACTACACTATGGGCGTCCTTCCCTGACTCCCTGAGAGGAGTACCTTTTTGCAGAGTCCTTTACTGAGAATTCAGGCTTTTATCAAGAGGAGGAAGACCCCCCCTTTAAGCAGGTGACCCCTTCTGTCCATTCAGCTGTAGGAGACCTCTGGCTACCTGGATCTGCTCTGGATTAGCTCTGCATCCTTAAGGGAAGATCAACCCACTTTGACTGGACCAGTTCTCTCCTTGATTGAGGATCTATGGGCTTTGATACATACCGCTTACTTACATCTGTCTTCTGGTGAGTGCGCATTTCTGCTTTTCTTCACGGACCACCACCATTGATTATCCACTTGTCATCTGGCACGTTTTTATGAATAGACTTTAGTGGACTTTCTTTCAGACTTTATTATCTAGCGCTGCACTTTTGTTGATATTACTCTGTTTAAGTATTTTTTGGTTACTTAGAGTGCTTAGCTGCTTTTTTGGATCAGCGCTCACTCTTTTATTATTATATATGTAGAAAACTACAGGAGGGGGCGGAGACAAGACCAGTCATCCTGCACATGTAGAGAGAGCAGCAGTGAGCGGTCTTTATTATAGGAAGTCTCACACTGGATTACTGCACAGATCCGGAAGAAATACACAAAGCACACCGAGATTCAAGGAATAATACACATGACCAATGTACAGTATTTAGACAACATTTGCTTATTCTGGAGTTCAGCCTTAAGTCCTCAGATGCAACACTGTACAGAATTAAATATTTGC